GTGAATTCCATGTGTTAATCACTCTTTGGGTGAAGAAGGACTTCCTTTTATCCGTTCTAACCCGACTGCTCAGCAATTTCATTGAGTGCACACGAGTTCTTGTATTGTGAGAAAGAGAGAAAAGAAACAAATAGGGAGGCAAACCAAGAGTTTCCTTCATTATTATTGTTATGTATTGAGACTAAGCCAGGCCTCAAGCTGTACCAGGAACAGGTCGAGCTTGCAACTTTAGAATAATAGTTTGCCAGGATCCTGGAGCTAACCAATAGATTAGTGGTGTAATGTAAAGAGCCTATCACTGGGAGTGGGTGGGTGTTGGGCGTGGTGTTTGCAGGCTTTATAAGCAGGGCTCAAGCCCTGCTAGTTGTCTTGTAGCTTGCGGAAATCACTGAAATCTTGTAAGCCGCCCTGAGCCCGCTTGCGGGGAGGGCGGGGTAAAAATATTAAAAATAAATAAAATTAATAAACCAGAGCTGATCACGGCAATGCGTCTAGAACCCAGTTATTTAACAATTATTGCTGTTGTTCTTCTGATTAAGAGCCAGGGTTCTTTTTGTAGTAGGAACTCCTTTGCATATTAGACGACACACCCCTAATGTAGCCAGTCCTCCAAGAGCTTACAGAGCTCTTCTTACAGGGGCTGCTGTAAGCTCTTGGAGTATTGGCTACATTAGGGGTGTGTCGCCTAATATGCAAAGGAGCTCCTGCTACAAAAAGAGCCATGTTAAGAGCTTATTATTAAGAGTTAATTAGTAAGTGTTGTGCCACAGTGGAATCAGCTGGCTGGAGGTGGTGAGCTCCCCCTCCCTGGCAGTCTTTATGCAGCGGCTGGAGAAACCCTTGTCAGGGATGCTCGAGGCTGATCCTGCATTTATCAGTGGGTTGGAGTAGGTGGCCTGTAGGGCCCCTTCGAACGCTGTGTTATTCTATGAATATTTCATTAGGCTTCTATACCACCTTCCCTGCAAGTAGGCTCAGGGCGATGCACAACAGAATTAATAAAATTAGACCGCAGCTGGCCCTGTTCCCATGTTCATCTCTCTGTTTTGCTAGGTGGGAGAGTGCCTATAGAAATGAGGGGAAAGGACAAGGATTTCTCACCTAGGGAGGAGATCTCTCTGTAACATAGAATCATAGAATGTTAGAGTTGGAAGGGACCTTGCAGGTCATCTAGTCCAACCCCCTGCACTTCGCAGGAGCATAGCTGAAAGATAGCCCTACATACCTACAACATACCCGAAAGATGGTCGTCCAGCCTCTGCTCGAAAACGTCCAGCGAAGGAGCATCCACCACCTCCCGAGGCGGTCTGTTCCACCGCTCAACCACTCTGACAGTCAGGACGTTTCTCCTGATATTTAGCCGGTATTGACTCCCTTGTATGAGATTGTAAGCCATTCTGAGTCTCCCTTGGGTAGTGAAGGGTGGGGTATAAATCCAATCTCCTCCTCCTCCTCTTCTTAGAATCATAGAATGTTAGAGTTGGAAGGGACCTTGCAGGTCATCTAGTCCAACCCCCCGCACTCTGCAGGAGCACAGCCGAAAGATAGCCTACATACCTACAACATACTCGAAAGATGGTCATCCAGCCTCCGCTTGAAAACATCCAGCGAAGGAGCATCCACCACCTCCCGAGGCAGACTGTTCCACTGCTCAACCACTGTGACAGTTAGGAAGTTTCTCCTGAGATTTAGCCGGTAACGACTCCCTTGTCATTTCCACCCATTCGATCCAGTCTTGCAATCCAGAGCAAGAGAGAATAGATCCGCTCCATCTTCTACATGACGGCCCTTCAGATACACGAAGACTGCAATCCTGTCCCCTCTAAGCCTTCTCTTTCCCAGGCTAAACATACCCAACTCTTTCAGCCTTTCCTCGTAAGACTTGCATAAGACACAACTGTGCAACCGTGTCCTGAATCTGTATCTGTGCAGACCAGTCAACTCCCCCCGCTCCCATCTCCTTTTGTAAACTCTGCCCCCAGCTGACTTGCAGTTGATCCCTTGCAAAGCTACTGTTGTACACTGTGATTGACTTTTAGAGGAACTGAGCATTGGGGTGATAGACAGTTGCCTCACGGGGCCCCCGAACACCCTCTGTAGGATTGGCTTGTTCAGTGAGGTGCAGTTCCTGATGCCGATTGTTCTTGCTTTCCCAGAGTGCCCTGGGCCATGGGTACGTTGCTGAGGTTGAGATGCACTCCTCTCAGACGGACGCGGCCAAGGGCTTCGGAGGGAAGTACGGGGTGCAGAAGGACCGAGCTGACAAGGTGAGTCTCATCTCCTTTTCCTTTGCGATCCCTTTGGCAGACCCCCGTGTGGCTACCGGTCCGCTCCCGAGCTTAATTCAAGAGGTCGCTTTTGTCCTTTGAAGCCCTCCATTAGCTGTTGTAGATTCTCCAGGTTGTGTGGCCGTGGTCTTGGCATTGTAGGACCTGACATTTCGCCAGAAGCTGTGATTGGCATCCTCAGAGGTATAACACAGAAAGATGGAGGACTCTCTGTGTCAAGGTGAGAAGAAGAAAAATGGTAGGCAGGTTATTTATATCTACTCAGGAAGGGGGGGGTAGGGCTGAGTCATTATTTTGTAGGAGTTCCCCAGGCTATGAACATGCTCATAGAGGAGCTTTCCTGAGGAGGTTCTTTTGTATATGGATTGTTTCCTGAGGAGGTTTCCTGTTTCCTGAGGAGGTTCTTTTGCATATGGATTGGCTGCTGATATTCTAATCTTATCTGTCGTGCTATTGTCAGATGTAAGCTTTAGTAAAGAGGGGCCTTTTGTGTTTTTCAGGACAAGAAACCATGCCCTGTTTATTTTTAAACTCTCTTCTTTCCTGTTGAAATTGTGTTTATGTTTATGAATTCCAATGGCTTCCCTGTGTAATCTGACATGGTAGCTGGATGTGTTGTCCAGCCTTTCAGTGTCTTGGAACAAAATACTGTGTCCTGTTTGAGTTAGGCTATGTGTAGCCACTGCTGATTTTTCAGGTTGGCCTTTCCACACTGACCCCAGTCCATTTTAGTTGTTGACCTGTCTGACCAAATATACAATGCAGGTTGCAGCGATACAAAAATCTATTCATATGATAACACAATATATGGTACAAACTAAGCCAAGCTTTTTACAAGTCTTCATTTGTGTATTTTTTTTTCCTTTTCACCCTTTCCCCAACTTTGTGGTGCCCCCTTTGGCCCTGGTGCCCTAAGCACGTGCTTAATCTGCTTAATGGTTAATCCGCCCCCGAAAGTAAGCCAGGAATCTATATTCTGTTGTAGCAGAGTGCACAAACAGGCCATACGCAGCAGAGCTTCTCTTTGTTCTACATGCGCTGGCAAAGTTACAGAGTCACACAGAGCCACTTGTCAGTTTCAGAACTAATAGTCCTTTATTTAGGGAACTCCATTCTAGATAGTAAAGGTGAGAGGGAGAGACGGGATAAGAACATAAGAACATAAGAGATGCCAATGTTGGATCAGGCCAAAGGCCCATCCAGTCCAACACTCTGTATCCCACAGTGGCCAGAAATACCAGTGCCATCAGGAGGTCCACCAGTGGGGCCAGGACATTAGAAGCCATCCCACTGTTGACCCCCCCAAGCACCAAGATGACAGAGCATCACTTGCCCCAGAGTCCCTATCTATACCTTGTGGCTAATAGCCACTGATGGACCTCTGCTCCATATGCTTATCTAATTCCCTTTTGAAGCCGTCCATGCTTGTAGCTGCCACCACTTCCTGTGGCAGTGAATTCCAAGTGTTAATCACTCTTTGGGTGAAGAAGTACTTCCTTTTATCCGTTCTAACCCGACCGCTCAGCAATTTCATGGAGTGCCCACGGGTTCTTGTATTGTGAGAAAGGGAGAAAAGTACCTCTTTCTCTACCTGCTCTTTCCCATGCATAATCTTATAAACCTCAATCATATCACCCCTCAGTCGTCGTTTCTCCAAGCTAAAGAGCCCTAAGCGCCTTAACCTTTCCTCATAGGGAAAGTGTTCCAACCCTTTTATCATTCGAGTTGCTCTCTTCTGCACCTTTTCCAAAGCTACAATATCCTTTTTAAGGTGTGGTGACCAGAATTGCACACAGTATTCCAGATGAGGTCGCACCATTGATTTATATAGCGGCATTATGATATTGGCTGATCTGTTTACAATACCCTTCCTAATAACCCCCAGCATAGCATTGGCCTTCTTTATTGCAGTCACACACTGTCTCGACATTTTCAGTGAGTTATCTAACTAAATCAGTGAGGGATCTAACTAAATCACCTACAATGGATGCAGATGCAGAGATGCTGGTCCAGCATCCACGGTGCCAAAGATGGATCGCAAAACGTCTTCCTTCTTTGTGTGTGTGTGTGTGACAGAGGAGTGTGAACAGAAAGAAGGAAGCGATTCCCTGCGTCTGTGCTTCAGAGGGATAGAGGCAGAAGAGTAAACAGGAAGGAAACCCACAGTTTGCCTGTCTATCTACCTGACTCTTTTGCAACCCCCCCTCTGGAGGCTGAGGCGAAGAGACAGTATCTGGTCCTTGTCTTCCCACAATCCTCTCCTCTCCAATGTTCAAGTGTAGATTATAATCCCCCTGGGGGAGGGTCCTGTCCGTTTTAGCCCAGACACTAAAGTGTTATGTACTTCAGTGCTGTTATCTCAACAATAGCACCCAGCTGTGTTCACTCGCACTGAGAGCCAGTTTGGGGTAGTGGTTAACTGTGTGGACTCAAATCTGAGAGAACCGGGTTTGATTCCGCACTCCTCCACATGCAGCCAGCTGGGTGACCTTGGGTCAGTCACAAGTTCTGTCAGAGTTGTTCTTGAAAAAGGGCAGTTTCTCTCAGAGCTCTCTCAGCCCCACCCACCCCACAGGGTGTCTGTTGTGGGGAGGGGAAGGGAAAGGAGTTTGTAAGCTGCTCTGAGACTCCTTTGGGTAGTGAAAGGCGGGGTATAAATCCAATCTCTTCTTTCCCTTCTCAGTCAGCGCATGGCTTTGACTACAAGGGCGAAGTGGAAAAACATGCATCACAGAAAGGTAAGTCCAGAGAACCTCAGCTCTGCTTGGGGGCCACCCAGTGGTCTTCCTGTCATCTGGCAGCAATGCAGATTCTGTGAACTTGGGCACAGATCATGAGAGGGAGGGCAGGGAGGGTTGCCTCAGTGCTTAGTTCTCCTGGCTATTTCTTACACACCCAGGGAAATGCTGATCACCACTGTGGGGTCAGGAAGCAATTCTTCTCCAGGCCTGTTTGGGCAGAAATCCTGGAGGATTTTTGTCATCTGGGGGTGTTGGG